CCCAGCTCCCCCCACGCTTAGAAAAGCAGCGGCTCCAGGCAGGGGCTGGCAGACACACGCATTCAGCGGGAGGTGCCCCCCTATCCATAGGGGTTCCGAGGTCACGGTCAAGCCTCCCGGCACCCGCGCAGCGCCACGAACCTTTCTGTAGGTGCATCCCGTGAAGGAGGGGGTCTGCTCTCGGCTGCGGTCTGCTGGCGGCACAGTAACGCTAAGCAAGCTGCTTAGGAATGTCTAAACCAGCTTTTCCCTGTTTATTCATTTCCCAATTGGAAAATATTGCTGTGTCATACAAAGGTTGGTGAAATTTTTAACGGGAGGTTTTTTCTTGTGCCCAGGGTGGAACGCCGGGGAGTTGGGAGGTGACAGCAGGACTGACAACCGGGACTGCCGGACAGCCAAAAACTCTGCGACAAACTCAGCTGGGATATGGGAGACCGGAGCTGCGAGACTGTCTTCTGCGGAGATCAAAGCAGGGACGTGCAGGCGAATTTCTGGCAGCCCAGGCGAGCACCCGCCAGCCCAAAGGTACCGGCTGCTCTGCAGTGCGTCTTTCTTGTTTAATTAAAAATACAAACCCCAAGCCTGCAAATCCTGGATCTGCGCTTGGGTGCAGAGGGCAAATGAATCTCAAAAATGTAAAATGCAATCTTTTCCGATGAGCTGTTAAGTAAAAATACCATTTCCTGGAGTGACAGTCCGGCTCAAGACTAACAAGGCGCTTTCCAGCCAGGCACCCTCTTCCCCTTACCCCCGGAGCCGGGCCCTACGCCTCGGTGTTCCCCGGGGGCCAGCACATCCAAAAGCCTAGCGCCCCGCAGCACAACCTGCCGGCCCTGGGCGCGATGCTGTCGGCCTTTCAGATCCTGCCCTGGCTGCCGGCCCTGTCCTGACGTTCATCGGGACTTATTTTTTTTCTAAAGCATCCGAACAGGCTCAGTCGGACCCTTTAAATGAAATTCCCGCCGTTCCCCCAGTACTTGCGGGAGAGTCGTTCCTCAGCTATGTAAATCCAAGATATCGACAGAGGTTTGATGAATTTTTCCTCTGTTTTAGTGGCCAAGAAGGTCTTGCAGCCGCTGGCTGGCTGGCTTCTGCAGGAGCAGCGGGCGGGCTGAGATCCACCTCGAGCAGAGGGGCCCTTGCGCTTACCCAGCGATTGCTGCTGCAGAACCCAAACGAAAACACACGGCATTCACTCCTGGTTTCTGCTAAAACAAAGTTCTCCTAGCTGAAGCGAAACATTTTCTGGTTAAATATTTAAACCGGTAATTCATATACATCCTTTAGGGTGGGAAAATAGTTGGGTTTCATAGGCTTTGTGGGAGAAATAAAGTACCAGAGTTTGGAAAGCAGAGGCTTAAATATGTTTATCTCACACTCAACGCTTTGTAACTCTGCTTATGAGATAGCAAGTCAGCTCTCTGCGGGAATGTTGTCCAGGAGGAAATCAAACCAACGGGGATTTATGGCAGTTCCTATGGGACATACTGGCGCACGGCACCGCGCCGGGGAGGTTTAACCACGCCGGGCAGCTCTGGCACGGGACCGAGCTCCCCCAGGGCTGCCGGTGGCTCGGGAAGCCTGCAGGAAGGCGGAGATGTTTGAATCTTGAACCAGCAAAGCACACGTTACCTGAAACCTTGTTTTCCAGCGGTTTAGTCTGGTTTTCCTAATCGGGGAGAGCAGATTTCCAGGGCCGGGCGCCGCATTAAGCCTGTGCTGATGGGCTGGAGCCAGGCAGCCGAAGGCCGGCGAGGCGGGACGCTGCCGTCGCTGCCATCACTCCCGTCACTCCCATCGCTCCCGTCGCTGCCGCCGTGTCCCCGGGGTTACGCAGTAACGGGCGCCCTGTGCCCCCGTCCCCTCCGCTGCCGCGGCGGGCACCGATCCCCGGCTCCATTCGCCGCCCCCCCGTGAAATAGGAAACCTTGGAAAAGCAGAAGTGTGGCTGTAATTAGGATTAATCTATTTTTAGCAAGCTGCCTGGTGCCCTGTCCATGCTCCAGCTGAGATGTTTAATTCTGTCCAGCTCGACTCTTCCTGCAGTTGCACCCAGGATTGATACAAAAATTTCCTTTAAACCTTGAATTTGTTGGGGCTTTTTGTTTCGGTCGGGTATGGTAGTTTTTACAAAAAAAACCATTTTTTTTTCCCCCATATACAACAGCTGGAAAATCCAGCACTAAAGCAATGCAAAGGCTGCTTATCAAAACCAGTTGTATAACTTTTACTATCATTATTATTCGTTTTACTGTGTGGTTTGGAAACCTGGTCACAGATCAGGAATGTGTTGTACCCTGGGCTGCACGGAGGGCGAATCGCCCCCTCCAAGCCGTATTGAGTAAACTCACGGAGCGATACCCGGACGAGTTCTGCTAAACAGCATCAGGCCAAGATGTTAAAGGTGGCGATGGGCTGAGCACCCCGTCATTTACCAATCCTGATTTAAATATCTGTGGTCAACCTTCAATAACGCATTTGTAAAGGGACCTTCAAGAAAGATTAGCAGTTAGGAAACCACCGGGACATGCAGTTGGCCCCAGATCAATACATCCCGCCGTCCCGCTGCTCGCCCCCCCCGCCCCAGTAATGTTTGGCTTTTGCAAATATTGGTGCCCCACGTGAGGGGCCGGAGGGGCCGGCACCAGGGGGGAGGAGAAGTGTCCCCCCCCGGCGGGGGAGCAGTACCTTTAAGCAGCACACGGACACCGGCTCTATTTGAAGCTTCCCTTGTGCTCTCCGGTGGGTGGGAAGCGTGAGGGTGGTCCACCGCCTCGCGACCGGGAAGATGCTCTCCTTAGCAAAAACAAAAGAGGTTCCTCAGCAAAACGCTGTTTCCTCCCAGAAAATACAGCCATCGGCCCGGGGCTATTTCTGCTTCAGCTGTAGGGGCAGGGGGGATTTTCCCCTACAGCCCACCTCTCCCCCCTGCCGTGTATTTCGGTGACTCACGAAGCTTCCAAGTGCTGAGCGTGGAGAACGGCTATTTCTGTGCTTCCACTGCAATCCCTGCTACCTCCGGCTGTGCTGTCAGTGCACCTCAGCCATGCACAGCACCCCCGCCGGCTCTATTCTTAGCAGCTAATAGCTGAAATAATTACTTTTGTCTCAGCGCTGTTGGCTCCTTAGATTTAGAACTGAGCAAAACCCGCAGCCCGGGGAGCAGCCGGGGGCCCGGGGAGCCACCACCATGACCCACGGGCAGCATCTCCGTCGTGGTGCCGAACAGGAACGCTGCAAGCGGAGCTGTCGGGGATGCTAAAACCTCAGACCCGGCTTCAGCCCAGGGCATAAGCTCTGCTGTGAAGCAGCTTCTATGTTAACGTGGCGCCACCGCTTTGGAAAGGACCTCAGCCATTCCAGCTGGGATTTTCTTCAACTTCACAGGGTAAATTCCAGGACTCCAGCATTTCAAAGGAAGGGCCAGGTTTTCACCTGCAGGTTCCCATTTCAGTGCCTGCGTTACTGCGTGGGCTAGGTTCGCACAAGGAACGCAAACGTTTTATGCCAGTGTGACCACCCAGTGCCAGCAGAGCCCCGCCAGGTGCTGGGAACGAGCCCACACCTCTGGCTTTGCAGCCTTCCCATCTCGACCCCGGCTGTTCCATCCCATTCCCTCAAACCACCCCCAAAGAGGGCCAGGAGAAAACGCCAGCCCAGGCTTTGCTGGGTGCACACCCAAGCAGGTGCATGGAATCAACTTTAAAACCATTTCCGAAGGGTTTTTATTGCTATTTATCCCCTGCCCTGCTCCTTCCCCTGTTGGTCGGGACGCCAGTGAGAATCCCTACAGCGCGTGTACACACTCCGCTGGCAAAGAACAGGCAGTGCTGAAAGTACTGCAGAAGCCGTTTCTCTGGCATTCACTGATGAAACTAGTCTGGAAAACCAGAAAAAAAAAAAACCCAAGCCTAAATGTTTGTTGTGACTCTGCAACTTTTCTGAAGTCACCGTGGAACACAACCCAAAGCACGGTACAGCACACGGAATATCCCGTCACGGGCTCCGGCAGCTGTGTTAGCAGCAAATATTCCTAGTTTGGAGTTGCAAGCCTCCAGTTCCCTGGAAATCCACATGTCCTGGCAACAGGGGTTGGACTAGATGACCTCTCGGGGTCCCTTCCAACCCAAACCATTCTATGACTGCGAGGACAGCGCTGTAAAACCACGGCTTGTCCACCTACATGTAAAAATAGAAGGAAGACCTTGAAGCCTTCTTCCTGCTTTTCTTTGAAAAGTGAAAGAGAGCACCTCCTCAACATAATTTCTCACCAATCTCCTCTAAAAGCCACGGTGCTCCGGCAGCTTCTCTCTCAGACGACGGTTACGGCTCGCTAATTGACTGGGGGCCTTCTGTGCAGTAAGGACTGTAATTAAGCAAGAGGCACAACTTGAGTAAAATCTGGGAGCAAGGAACTCCCAAATTTCCCTATCAGCATTGACCCTGATTCCACAGACAATGTGGGTCAAAATATTTAACCTTTTATTTAACTCAGCCTTCTCGTATGCAAAATCGTATTCATTTTAAATAAGCAAACATTAAAAACTTACCAGTTCCCGCAGGTTAACAACTAACATTACTTCTTTATTTACTATAGCAAAGAATTAAGTAGGTTGTTTTTTTTTTTTAAGGACCATTTACTAGTACAACATTCAGATTAAAAGAAAATTTTCAAAATTAATCACGCTCTGACGGCTGAGGGTTAGGGGAAACAGTCCTGGCAGATGGGCCGTCGTGTTCCTGTTTGTGCCGATGGTCCTTGAACGGAGCTGGCTGGGAATTCCGTGCTGAAACAGGTTTTTGTTGGAAAACATCATTTTGCTGGGGTTGTGAGTGTTTTGTGAGGAAGAGGTAGCGCTGACAAGCGCTATCCTGTGCCAGTATTTGAAAAATATACGGTTTTGCATTTTAAAGGAACTTTCAGGAGTTTTGGGTGGTGCAAACTGAAGAACATAGTGCTAAGTGCTAACTTCTACATTCCCCTGCCCACCTTTGCCTGAGTCTTTGCTCCTTCTGTTTCCTACCAACCGCTCCCCGAGCTGATGTGCCGAGACATCGTTTATATGGATATTGAGGTCGAGGGGTTATAGATTTACAGCTGCATAGACTTGCTACATCTCGGGCAGGAATTTGTTTGGCATAGCCGAGGCCTTTGGATTACTTCAGCTCAGCCTTTGAGTTAAATAGGAACATGCCCCGATTTTAACAATCGCCGTTTCCCGCAGTGGGAGGAAGGTGCGGCCGCCGGCATTTAAACTGAAACCTGAGCCAAGGCTTTGCCAGCGGGAAGCCGAGAGTGCGGGTGGTACCACGAGGGTTTCGCTCGTCATTAAAAAGACCGAGGACCTTCCCCAGCGGATGGCTGAGGTTATTTATCACCCACAGCACCGATAAGGTATTAGATGACGTGCGTGAGGGTTAGGGTTTTGTAACGTCAGACTTTGTGTGTTACGGCTATTAAGGTCAGCGTAGCACGACAGCAAACAGCAGGGGAGATGCCAGGGAAATGAGGATGCACCTTTTTGTACGGTTTGGCCGTGGCAAGCCCACGCTTCCTCTGCTTGCTGACGAATCGCTCCCCGAGCCTTTCACGATGCCGGGGGAAGCTGTCAACGGCCGGCGGACTTGGCAATGATGGCTGGGGGTTCAATCCCTCCCGCCCTCCGGAAGAAATTTATTTTGCCCCCTAGCATCCAGCCTGAACTATTCAAGCTCTGAGTTGTGATGGCTCATTACGTTGTGTAGCACCATCGAAACTTTTGGGGTTTTTCATCAACATCGCGAGCACCCACAGCACAGTTGTAGTCAGCCCTCGCTCCGGAATGGGTACTCACACTGCATTTGTGGGGGGAGACCGATCTCCCCTGCCTCCCACCACGGCCGTCGATTATTTCCACTTACCAAGCTTGCTTTCTAGCTGGGGCCTTCGCTTCCTCGCAGTCAGTTGTTACAAAACCAAAGCTCTGCTTCCTGCTTTTAGACAGTTTGGAGGGAAAAACAAACAAATAAACCAACCAACAAAAAGCAGTAATGAGACATGTACACGGGCTCCCCTTAAACCAGAAAAGCAGCATAGATTTCTACCCTGGAAGCCCGGCCTCTATTTCCTTACTTCAGCTCACAGAAAATGCCAAAGCCTGCCCAACGTTTCACAGACTCAGCTGTGTGTGAGAAGACAACTTTTATTTTTTTGGGGCCTCATTATTCAGTTCCGAGTGCCGAAGCCTTCCCTTGTGCCGTGTTTTCTTAGTTGTGCACTCAAATGTTTCCCAGTGCAGCGCGGCTTTGAGTCGCCTTGGGAGCCTGAGGACCACCATAAAGCCAATACTTACAGTTAGGTAACAGCAGAAATGTTCCTCGGCTGGTCATTTGCAAATGAAAGCAAAGCGTAAAATAAATGTCGCCTTTCCCCTGAAAGCAACCAAAAAGATGTAATTGGAAATAAATCAAAACTCCACTTTACTTTCTTACTATACCGCAAGACTGACAAAATCGCTGTGAGCTAAAAGCACCAGTCAGCCACCCCATTTCTGAGGCTCCGAGCCTTTTGTCTCGCTCCCGTGCCGTATGCAACCACGTTCAGAGCTTCGCCGGATCTCGCGGGTCCAGCGAGATGGCCTCTGCCTCGCCTGCGCAGCGCGGGCGTGCTGTAAATCAGCCGCCCGCTGGCAGGGAAAACGGGGAATGCGGAAAATCCGCTCTGACCCCGCGTGTTGGTGGAGCTCCTGAGATAACTCAGGGGTAACTGAAACCAGCACAGGCAGCTTAACATCACATGAAACACTGGCCTACTTTAGCAAGTATCATTGCTGGGTGACTCATTTAAGTAGCTGTAGCGCTCTTACAATTTTACCTTCATTAACTGAAGTAGTTAATGCTTGCAGCTTTGGCCACGAAGCGTAGATGCAAGGCCTGGAGTCCCAGGGGTTTGATTGCATAAGCAACCATGTCTTGTGGCATTTCCTTGATCAAGCACTACTTCTTTTGGTCACATGGAGGTTTGATTTCCCCTTGCATCAGCTACAGCAGACCTTTTACATTTGCAGTATCGGTGTCTGACCGGTCAATTCGCAGGGGGCATCCCCTTCGCCCCGCGCCGAGAGCCTGCACGGCTCTCCCAGGTCCCCAGCTCACAGGATCCTTTTCCTTTTTTTTTTTTTTTGTAGAATCTTATCTGAGAAACCGGGAGCTTGCAATTCTTCTCATTTGTGTCTGCGCGTAACAGGTGTCATTTTCAGTGTAGTACAGACAAATCCCAAAATAGCTCAGGCTCTTCAGACGCTGCGAAGAGAAAAAAGAGTGGTTACTTCAGCTTTGGTTGTAGTGAAAAACCCGAAGCTTGCAGCCAGCTCTGAAGTCCGGAATTAAAATGGCAGATGTAGCCGTGTAGTAGTGATCTCTTGCTTCTGTGTCTTACAAACGGTCTGCTGGCTCTCCCGCTCGCTCCTTTGTACACGCAGGCTGACGCATGAACTCCCTCGTATGGAGCTGCCGTGCCATTAGCTTCCCTTTGATTCCCAGATGCTGTAGCTACCACTG